AATATTAGTCCCAATTTTAGGCGCTAATTGGAAGGAATAAGCTATTCAATATTATCCCAGATTTGTAGGCGCCTAATTTGGAAGGAATCAGCTCTTATTATTGGGTATTATGAATGGTATAAATTTGTAGGAAAATATAAACATGGTTGGATGCTTGGAAACAAGAGTTAAACAAAGAAGAGCTAAAAGATCCAAGCAAAGTTTGGGAGAGATTGGAGAGTTGTGGATAATTATTCTGCAGCACCTAATGGTAGGATCTGGTTAGCATGGAAAGAAAATGCAATAAAAATGCAGGTAGTGTATACATCAGCACAGATCATACATTGTCATATACAGGACAGACACTCTGAATTTCAGAGTAATGTCACTGTGGTGTATGGACTGCATAGTATAAGCAATAGACAGGAATTATGGAAGCAGCCGAGGGAGATAAATGAAGATACTGAAGGCCCATGGATTATTCTTGGAGACTTTAATAGTATTTTGACAGTAGAAGATAGAATAAATGGAGCTCCAGTTCATTCAAATGAAATTGTGGACTTTAATCAGTGCNATATATATATATATATATATATATATATATATATATATATATATATATATTAAATAAAATTAAGAATAAACATGTACGTGAAAGAAATATGTCATATATTTATTGCTTTGATAATGCTGGATCTAGGTGAAGAATTTTTTCTTAGAGAGGTCTCTTATTGCTTAGTGGAAAAGTCCTTAAGAGTAGCAATCTTTTAAGTTAAGATGCTTTATTCTTTCAAGTTAAGATATCATTATATTCTTTTTCAAGCTAAGATGTTTCATTTCTCCAAGTTGATAAACTCAAATAGTTACCTTGATTCTTTGTTTATTATTCTTTGAAAGAAAAAAATATTCCTTTATTACTAGGTGGAATAAAGGCAGTTTCAAATTTTAAATCACTAGGTGCAAGTATTACTGCATTCATTATTTTTCTCTAACCACAGATACAGTCGATAATACAATAATTATTCTGTTAAAGAAAAATTACAATATATATTGCACTCCAACTTTATTTTAATAATCAAAATTCCTCTCCAACTTTAGGCAATAGACAATGTGACTCCCTCTTATCCTAAAGAATGTCAATTTCCCCTTTGAATTATCAATTCCCTATCCTTATGTAATTTTTAAATTATAATATTTGGAATTTTTTTCATTTTAGTGCTTTTTAATGATTATAATATTAATTTGAGTTAAAATTAATTGACATGAGAGTTTAACAATGCAAGTTCATGAACTCTTTAGACTATCAACCTCTACCTCTGTGTATTTTCTTTAACTTTTTACTACATATTATTTTATTTGCCTATATAGTATAATTAACATTTTATGGATTCAAAATATAAATATATTAGCAATCACCATATAGTAAAATAACTTTAAAAATGATTCTCTCTCGGCGCATGTTTAGCAAGGCTAGCTAACATGCACCAACAAGGATGACTCGCCGGAAAACTGCTCGGAAAGGCAATTCACAACCAACACAGACGGAGGAATGTAAGGAAGAAGCTTCAACTAGATTAGTAACACCGGAATCTGGTACTGTTCAACAACTAGCTCCAATTCAATTGGTACATTGGATGACAGGGATGGGAAGTGCACCGACAGTCATGCAAGGACCACAGCTGAAGGAGACGGAAGTTTCGGAAGAAATTGAGAAGAATGTGGCTACGGCAGCAAGGAAATTGACGAATTCTGCGGGATCTGGACCTGAAGGGGAGAAACGAACTATGGCAGAAGTCGTCAAAGGCAATAGAACAGTGACTCAAGGGTTACATTTGAAATTCTATCCACCAGAAATAAGAGATGGAATCAAAATTGTGAAGCTGAATCAAGAGGAAATACAAATGCAATGTCAGAAGTGGAAATCGGCGCTGATAGGCTATGTGCTTGGAGGTAATCCTACTTTCAAAGAGATGTTGAAATTTGTATACGGAGTGTGGAAATCAGTAGCAACACCTACAGTGTTTCTACATGATGATGGTTACTTCATATTCAAATTTGAATCAATTGATGATATGAATTTGATCATGACTCAGGGGCCATACACGTTTAATAAAGACCGATGATTTTGAAAAATTGGGAACCGGAATTTGAAATTGATAAGGAACCTATGAGAGTGATGCCACTATGGGTGAACTTACCTGGGCTGCCTATTCAGTGTTGGGCAGAAGAGAATCTGGGCAGAATTGCTAGTAGCTTGGGAAATCCAGTATGTACAGATCGATTAACAGCGGAATGTGAAAGAGTATCGTATGCTAGAGTGTTAATCGAAATGGACATTATGCAACCTCTACCGGATGAGCTAACTATAGAACAGCCTAATGGAAAAATCAGAATCCAAAAGGTCGAGTACGAATGGAAGCCAATGTTGTGCCATGAGTGCAATAAGTTTGGGCATCCTAATAGAGACTGTATGAAGAATCTTAATGAGAAACATAAGAAGAAAACAAAACAGAAATGGATAAGAAAGGAACAAGAGGTAGTGACTGAGGAGAACAGAAATGTAACAAAGAAGCAAAAGGAGAAGCCTCAGGTGGTAATTGAAGACAAAGGTAAACAAGTCAAAGTTTATCAGAGTAAGAAAAAAGGGCAGCCACCACCTGACTTGGAAGAGATGATCAGAAGGAACAAATTTGCACCCCTGAGAATACAGGAGGAGCCACCTGACAGAGATGAAAGGAATGAGCAAACAGAAGGGGTTATCAAAGGGCCTACTCCAACAACCATTCCACCTATATGATTTTTAGCACATGGAACATTAGAGGACTTAACAAGTCCTTTAAACAAAGAGAGTTTAAAGACTTTCTAATGAATAATAAGATAGACATGGTTGGATGCTTGGAAACAAGAGTTAAACAAAGAAGAGCTAAGAAGATCCAAGCAAAGTTTGGGAGAGATTGGGGAAATACCATTCAGATACCTGGGGGTGCCACTATCATCTAAAAAGCTAACTATAAATCAGTGTATGACATTGGTGGAAAGAATAACAGAAAGAGTTAAAAGTTGGACAGCTAGATACTTGTCATATGCAGGGAGACTACAGTTAATAAAAAGTGTCTTATTTGAAATGCAGACGTACTGGGCTCAAGTATTCATACTACCAAAGAAAGTGCATGGTAAAGTGACTACTGTTTGCAGAAATTTTTTGTGGAAAGGATGCAGTGAAGGAAAATCAGCACCTATTTCATGGGAGACTGTTTGCAAGCCTAAAGCAGCAGGGGGACTAAATATTCTGAACTTTGAAATGTGGAACAGGAATGCAATAGGAAAACTGCTATGGGCAATAACACAAAAAAAGGATAAGTTGTGGGTATAATGGATTCATCATCACTATATGAAAAAGAAGAAGCTGGAAACAATGGAGACTCCAAAACAAGCAAGCTGGGTCATCAGAAAGATTTTTGAAGCAAGAAAGTGGCTGACAAATGGAGTGCAAGAGCTGGAAACATATGTGGAGAAAGGGAAGTATAGCATAAAGAAAGCATACATAAGTCAAATGCAACAGTATGCAAAGCCGAGCTGGAAAAGCCTATATCTAACTAAAGGACTTATGCCAAGGCATCAGTTCATAATGTGGATGGCATTACACCAAAAGTTAGCGACTGTGGAAAGAGTAATCAAATGGGGCATCAATGTAGCAAAGGAATGTGTATTGTGCACAAGTGGAAAAGATGAGACTATGGAACATCTATTCTTTGAGTGTGCATATTCAAAATTTGTGTGGGATCAACTTCTGCAGCTGTTTGAAATCAATAGAACAGTAGGAAATTGGCAAGAGGAGGTCAACTGGATGACAATGAAAACAAAGAAAAGAGATATGAAATGGACAATTCTGGGCAATGCTTTTGCTGCTACAGTGTACCAAATATGGAGGGAACGAAACTTTAGAAGATTTCAACAAATCAGCAGAGAAAGTAAAGATTTAGTTAGAGATATAGTACTTCATTTACATATGAGAGAAGAGAATTATTGTAAATGGAAAGGAGTATTAGAAAAGATAGATAGATTCCCATGCTAGCATAGTTAGTAAGGTAGATAGGGGATCAATTTGTTACAAAAGAGGCTATTTTTTGTAGACCCGACTCTAGAGTCAAATGAGCGGGTGGATGTAAATATTTACTTGGTTAAATAAAATTTTCAGGTTAACCAAAAGAAAAATATAAACATGGCGGGTAATAATGAAAATATGCACATTTTTAGTAATAAAGTTTCGTATATGGTATAGATAGGAAAAAATCCCTTATCAATAAATTAGAGAAGTGCCAAGGATAATTTTGGACTTAAGAAAAGTGAGTATGGTGCTAACCTATAGGTTAGCAAAATCCATAATATATATGGTAAAGATGCAACACTAGAAGGAGAACTTCCATGTTTACCGTACAAATTCTTAAAGCTCGTTGGTCATACTGAAATTTGGACACAAACCACATAGCACGTTTTTACCAGAAATTGCCAAGAGATTTTCATCTCTAGATCATCATAGACTGAAATGGGCTAGAAAAAACATCACAACGAGAGAAAGTATTACACATGACCATTTCAGTACGATAAGCACATTGATAGGACTTCTCTAACATTTGACTTTAGCGGCTCACATGCCATTAAGGGTGATCACAATTCTGCGAGGGGTAGCCGCATCACGGTGCTCACACAACCATATGCCCTGAGATTCAGAGAACATTAGTTACTCATCATACCTTCCATCAACTGCAGATGAGAACCAGGCTATCAAACAAAAAAACAACTGATATTGAGTCACCTCGTATAGTGTGCTAACTGCTACCATTCGAAATGCTATTCACCTTGATAAACTAACACATTAAACAAACTCACAAAATGGGAAAGCAGCAACACTCCAAGCAGTGCTATTGGCCTTGCAAAGTTCTGGAATTCTACTCATCATTTAGGTGGTTTGAAGCCGAAGTCATTGAAAAGGCTTTGATGCAACCTCCTCTTAAACACTCCCCTCACCCCAAGAATAAAAGGGATAAAAGTATGGGCGATATACTCATACGTTTTAGCCTCCTAAAGAATTCTAGCACTTTCTCAAGTGTCTTTGCTATGGATTGTTCATCTTCAAGTCTACTACTTACAGTTGCCAGATAGATACAACAACAAACAACAACACCTACCCAGTATAGTCCCACAAGGTGGGGTCTGGGGAGGGTAATACGTACACATGCCTTACCCCTACCCGAAAGGGCAGAGAGGCTGTTTCCAATCGACCCTCGGCTCAGGAAAAGGAAAAGAAAAACAAAAACAAAAAAACAAAAAACAAAAAACAAAAAAACAAAAGAGTATTAGTAACTCCAGCAAAAATCACATAAATAATTATCTAAACATAAACCATAAATAAAATGGCATGCAAATATATCGACCAGTAACTACCATAAGGGGCACAATACAATATACAGATCATCTATGGAGAGCCCTACAAACCCCCCCCCCGCC